AAGAAAGAGTCGGAGAAGGAAGGCGATGGAGTAATTAAATTAAGCAGGGAACACAGATAGATATTTATAGATTATAAAACAGATAAAAAGGCAGGAAGGAGGTGTTCAACGACGGTGAAAAGGCATAGGAGGTAAGAAAGGAAAGACCAGGAGTAAAAATATTAGAATAAACAAACAACAGGAGACAACAACAACATGAAGAAAGAGTTTAAGACGTCCTTCTTTCCCTCATCCAGAAAGATCCAATTCAAAACACACATCACACCATCAAAGCTCAACCTTAGAGCTAACAAACCAAACGTTAGACTGTGAACTGGCTCCAACACCGACAGAGTGTCTTTACTTTGAGATATATTTAGCTGGTGCGTCATCAAAGCAAAAGACACATTGTGTGAGTTCTGCATCATCGTGTCAGGGGGGCGAAGACAAGATGATAACAGCTTTATTACAAACGTTAGACTCCAACAAGCAACTGCTTGTGCTTCACTCGAGCAGCTCAAGCAGCCTTTTCCACCATCTGTACAGAACATTTAAATATTAATCACAGGTTATACTATGAATGTTGGCGATGACTATTGACTATTATCCCACGAGGAGTTCAAGGATGTCTTGTTTAAGATCTGAATAACTGGAAGGCAGCGGCTCAGCAGCAGATAGACGAATGAGCAGGAAACAAGACGAGATGGACAGATAACTGATAATACCTGCCAGGACATGTGTTCATGATGAGCAGGACGTTGTTTCCTACTGTAGCGACCAAAATCATATAGGGAAAAAAATGATAATAAACTTAAAATAACACTTTCACTGAGGCACCAGTTAGCGAATCTTACGCAGGGCAATGATCCAAGAATCTCTGTTTGTGCATTTTATTCCTATAACAAAAGTACAATGAACAGGCTTCCTATATTTCTTTCCTTTAGCCTTTCATATGGATGTATTTCTTGCTTGAATCACACTGTGGCTCTACTAGGCCTTGTCTTTTTATGCTGCTGCAACACAAAGATGTTCCAAATTGGGATCAATAATGTACTTCTTATCTTATCTTATCTACTCCCACCACCTCCACCTGTCTCCAATATATACAATTACACCAGGTGCTCTAATCACCCAGTGCCCAAACATGCCCAGACCCTAGGGGTTTTTAAATCTACTCTTAAGACACACTTCTTCTCCCTGGCCTTCTAGTCAGAGCGGAGCACGACTCCTGACTTTTCCCTGTGTTTTTTATATATCTGTTGTAATTTATTGTCTTTTATTGTGCTTGTAGTAATGTGTTTTTATTACATGTACAGCACTTTGGCTCGACCAAAAATCGCTTTTAAATGTGCTTTATAAATAAAACTTGATTTGATTTGATTTGATTTGATGCCTTCAAAATAAAAGCATAAAAAATACTTTAATTCACTTCAATAACGACACTAACATTTACTATAAACACTAACAGCAATAAAATAAAGCGATATATAGCTCCAACACCTACTTTCTGCTCTTATAGGTCGTGGTATGTCCACATCTGATCTAGAAGTTTACAATGTTATGTGCCATGACACAATTCAAAGGGTACCTGTACAAAGTGGTGATTAATAATGCTACTAGCAGCCGATGAGACTTGATCTGGGTCCTGGATTTCATTAATTAACAATGCTAGCAGCTGTGTGAGGCTGCATTTAGAATGAGTGGTTATTTGAGCTATATGCTAACACAATAACGATGCTAACATACTGACATTTAGCAGGTGCAATGTTTACGAGCTCAGTGTGCTCATGTTTATATTTGCTCATTAGCACTAAACAAAGTACAGCTGATGGGAATGTCTTCAGTTTTCAAGGTATTTAAATGTTCATTCTTACTTTCCCTTTTACCAAGAAAGACTGAAATGCAGGTTCAGTTTTATAACTTCTTCACATTTAGCTCAAACGTGACAACAGGGAAGATTGTTGCCCAAAACAATCTTCCAGTCTCTTGAACAAACAACCGGCCTTTCTCCCCTTCCACATCTGCAATATTATTCGTAAAGACATTCAGAGGTTTTTACTGTAGAGTAGAGTTCTCTGAATCTTTGGGTAAAGTAACTAACAAACTCGGTCTGCTGCTTTATATACTTCTGTATATCATTTTAAAATGGATGTATTTGGGATTTGGACTGTTGGTCAGACAAACCAACATCTGAAGACCTTCCACAATCGTCCAACAGTTCAAAGTCCAAAAGGAATCATCATAAAAATACTCAAAAGCCAAATAAAACCTCATCCAGGACTCCTCTTCCCAGGCTTACTTTTAAAAAGCAAAGCGTTGGCTGTAAATGCTCGGGTGTTGGACTACAGTGCGGAGAATCACTGCACAGATCAGATAAAAACTCCACTGCAGCCATCAGAGGGAGGAAAGACAAAGAGAAAGACAGTAAGTGTTGGGAGGGAGAACAGGGAGATACAAAGATCTGAGAGCAGAACAAGGCCAGCTTACCAACACTGACGTGTATCTCTCTGTTGACGCAAAGCATAACACTGCTAACTCTGCTCTGAGGGGAATTTGGGGATGAAGCACAGATAAATACGGCAGATGGGAAAAGGATTATGTAGGCCAGTGGATTCAGCCACTGAGAGGATAGAGAGGCAGTGAGTTTAAAGTCACGTGCTTCAAACGTCAGACAAAACCTGGATGTGACATTTAGACAAATGAGAAAAATGTCCTTGAACAAAAATACATGTTCAGGTAGAAACAGTTGCAGAATGTGAAGTATCTATCCAGCAGAATAACAACCGATAATGAGTCCAGAAATAGACACTTGTTTTGTGTCTCATTGGGCAGAGGAAACAGTCAGTGATGTTAGACGAGATAAAGTCCATGAGTTCCCTTTTTCAGTTTTTCTGATACAACAGATCCATCCTCTTTCTGGCTGCTTGACATCACTGTGTCAAAATAGACCAACAATAGTTTTACACGAGTACATTTAACACATCATTACAACGTTGTTAACCTTTGCCCAACCGATGCAACCTGCATTATGGATTTGATGGTAGCTCTGTAATTTAGCCAAGTACTAGTCTTTCCTTGGACTTTTATGTTATGTGACGACAAAGTTCTCCAAACTTGTATTCCGTTAGTTACTCAAAAACATGCATATGGGTAAAAAGCCAAGAAGGAGTTGAAGGCAAGAGTGAAAAGGTGAGTTTTGAGGGATTTTTAGAATGACGTGAGAGTGTTGGCAGATCGGACATATGTGTAAAAAGCCAAGACCACTGTATACTTAATCCTTTACAACTCTGAGTGTGTTTGTTGATTTTTGTACCCTTACCCAAAAATGTATTTTGCCTACCATCTGACATGATAGTAGAGGTGGCATCTACGTCATCTTAGTTTAAAACAGGTTAAAATAGGAGTATAGAGTAGGGCTGAAAAAGGAGAACTGCAGAGTCACTGCACAGGAACTCTTTCAGCAGTGTTTACACACACCATCATATTCAGTATTTATATCCCCATGAACACCTGAATGGCTCAGACAGCCGCATCAGAAGGTGTGTGTGTTTGTGGGGGGGGGGGGGGACTACATAATGAAGCCTTTTAGAGTCTCTGTCGATCTCTGAGCTTCCTGAGCGAGTGCTCACAGCTGTGGGCGCTAATCGAGACGTGCAGGAGGCTGCTTCCTCTTTTATTTTTATTTTCACCTCACACACACACACACACACACACACACACACACACACACACACACACACACACACACACACACACACACACACACACACACACACACACACACACACACACACACACACACACACACACACACACACACCACACACACACACACACACACACACACACACACACACACACACACACACACACACACACACACACACACACACACACACACACACACACACACACACACACACACACACACACACACACACACACACACACACACACACACACACACACACACACACAGCAACACACACTGCTAACAATGAGACCGAGATCAAGGTCTGAAATGATTGTGTAGTCCCCCCTTTCATCACAAAATTCTAATTTCTATACGCTGGACCGATATTATTCAAGGGGAGTAAAGATCAAACAATGCTAAATGTTTCCATCAAAACTCAAAAACACAGGTCTGGACTTTTTGTACTTCTTTTGTAATGAATCAAGTCTCAAGTTGTGACCTGGTAAAACCCCCAAACAATAAATAAAAAGCACAACCAAGACGTGCAGAGTTAAACACACTGGATATGTAATAAATAGGCATTTGTATGAGGACTTGGTCTCAACTTTGTTAAAAAGACAACTAGCGTTACAAAAGTCCAAGTTATTGTCAGAGACCTGAATAACCTGCAAAAGACTTGACTTCCTAAAAAGCAGCAGCAGTGGAAATAGGCATTCATATTATAATGAGGTTTTAAGAACCAATATAAAGCAATGGAGAGTGATTAAAAAGATTCTCTCTCCATCTGCTTCAAAGATGAATACAAATAAATAATTGAAAGAAACCAAGTGGGGGGGAAACATAAATAGAAGATCCTTTAATTGGCTAAAGATTTAAAAAATAAGGTATAAATGACCAATAAGATAAGTCAAGATGTACTTCATTGATCCCAATTTGGGACATTTCTGCGTGATCATTATTACTTAGAGTCATTGCGTGCCTATTGATTTGAACACGATCCGTGTATCCATCATTTCCTGGTCTTCTCTAAAGCAGAGGGACCAATGAAAACGTTGTCATGTTGCCGTTGTTCAGCATGGAAACATTCATTAGCTAACAATGACATTATTGTTCTATTAATATAAAGGGAGGTCAGGTACTCTTTAAAACAGCTGCTAGTTATGGGTACTTTTTACTGAAGTACATTTCAAAGCCCTCTTTACTTTTACTTGAGTAAAGAAGTTTAGTCAGTACTTCTACTTTTACCAGAGTATTTTTAAACACGAGTATCTGTACTTCTACTTGAGTAAAGGTGTGTGTACTCTTGCCCTCTCTGCTGCTGACTCACCTGTCTGGCCAGCCTTCGGGCCTCCCAGTACGGCTTGGACTCCTCCACTGGTTTTCCGATCTTCTTCACCAGTTCATCGAGCTTCACCGTGGCCTCGACCAGAACCGAGCGGAACTTCTGCCTCGCGTCCTGACAGGAAAGAAGGAAAGTGAAAGTGAGGAACTTCAGTAATTCAGGTAAACACAAAAAAGAAAAGGACACCAACAGAACTTGTTTGAAGAATAAGCTGAAGTACCGTTTAGTCTGAAGTATCACCACACACTGCACTTCCTACATGAAGGGATTAGAATGTTTTTTTTAACCCTAAACCCTCTGGTGGTCCTGCGATATTGGGGTGGGGGGAATAATCAATACAGCATAGTATTGCGATACTCTGCGTGGCGATATTGTATCGATACACGGACGCCAAGTATTGTTATTTTATTATATAAACTATTCATATTGCAAATCCAAGTTAAAGTTTTTGGTAACAATTCCTTTTTCAACCCACTAGAAGGTGTTGAGCTTGTTCTTGTGTGGTCATGGCCATGGGCAAAGTCAGTGGGATTGGCAGGAAGTTATTCAAAACAAAGATGGAGTCCGCGGAGAAAGATATCTGAAATGCTATATATCACAATATATCGTATCACAATACTTAGCATATCGTAGAATCGCAATACTATTGTATCGTAGCTTAAGTATCGTGGGGAGCCTGGTGATTCCCACCCCTATACCAGGGTATTTAGATATTTTGATTATCACTACCGCTTTGAATACAGATGCTCTGCTCTCTATGATAGTGTGTTAGTGCCACCAGAGCACCTACAAGTGGTTGTAAAGTTACAGGACTACAAGTAGAGACAAATGCCATTTCCATGTTAAGTTGTATTTTAAGTTAAGTGTTCCTCCAACTACAAAACCTGATTAAAGCCACATCATTTTTTTTCAATTGCGAGTCTGCTAAACCACATTGTTTCCATTCAGCCCACCAATGTGTTGGTACACTCTGTTTATGCATAATGTAACGGCACATTTATAGCTTTAAATGGGCCGACAGTATATTCGTCAATGAATGAATGCAACAAATCCTCAAAGCAAGAGCCACCTGCTGATTTAAGAAAAAGGGGGTTAGCATTGAAGCTATCGACAACTTTTGCTCTCGTAAAGGTGGCAAGACTTTTAGGTGGACCAGCTTTTCTGATTTTAGTAACAAGCCGTTCCAACAAGTTTTTTAGCTCAGTAAATCAGATGTTGTTTCTTAGAATATTGCCAGTGCCAATGCTCTTGTCCATCATTTAAACAGCTTACTTGTTTTATTTCAATTTGCCCTACTGAACAAACACTGAGAGTAGCTATTGACCCTTGACTTTTCTCACTAGCTGCTTGCAATGTTTATATTAAAGGAAATTAAACTTGCTCTATTTGTGCCTCTGCGATGAGTCACAACACGAAAGCTCAAAGATAAAACCTTGGAAAAATTGATAAGAAACACTAGCTCCCGACCATAACAATTAATCTAATCTGGGCAAATTCTTCACACCATATGTGCCAGATAAAGCTGACACAGTTTTTCTGAGAACAAGTGTCCCATTAAAACACCGAAAACTGACCAGGGCCAATCATTTGACTAACCGGTACGAAGCAAACCATTTCTGAGAGCTACGTTGGTACTCACAGAGTTTCACGGACTGATAAGCATTCAGCTCGGAAAATGTCCTCATGGTTATGTAAGTGGCATGAAGGGCACGGGGAAAAAAGGAAAAACAAGCCAGAAGCTTCACGGATCCCTGCGAGGAAATGCTCTCTTTAATTTTCCACCTTCTTTACTGGGGTCAATTATACAAGTCACATCAGGGACGAGGATGTTTTGAGCCATCCATGGAGGACCTTTACTACCTTTACTCCCAGCGGCTCAGGAAGAAATCACTACGGATTATCAAAGACCCCCATCACCCCAGCCACAAACTGTTCTTTCTGTTGCCGTCTGGCAGACGTTACCGCAGCATCCGGGCAAGGACAAGAAGATTCGGAGACAGTTTCTTCCCGCGGGCAGTGAGACTGTTAAAAAATTGAACTGTTGAAACAACTTCAAACATTCAACTGCTACTCAGTAGTATGTATCTAATACCTAATATATATATATCATTCCAATAACTTGTATATAGACTCATACTGCACTATTCCACATCATAACTTTATTTCATTTTTATAACTATTATTATTTTTGTATTGCTCTTGCTCTTATTGTTATTATGTTATGTTATTATGTTGCATTGTTGGAGAAGCCTGTGACATAAGATTTTCAACTGCATAATTACTCTGTAGCTATGTCAGATTGACAATAAAGAACCTTGAACCTTGAGCATCCAAGGTCCTTGTGTTATAAAACAAGCTGTCCCCAAATGTATCCTTCAGTTTGAGAAAACAAATGTTGTGTTTCCTTTCCTAGGAGGTAAACACATGTCCTCAAACTGTCTTTCTTAGTCTTGAAATCTGAAGAAGACTTAGAGCAAGGCAAGGACTACATGTGACAGCTGCACATATGAACCCTAAGAACATATGTTGATTGGTTTGTCCAAAGAGAAAACAAGTTCTAGCCTCTTTAAGATGAACCTCTTGTTACAGAGAGACTCATTTCTATCAGCTAGAGGAAACAACATCAACATGTTTTTCAACCCAAATGTTCTTCAGGACTACCAGAGAGGAGTTTCTTTAGTTTCACTTCTTGGGTTGTAACTTTCAGGAAAAAGTTGTTGGCATGCCATTAAAAGACAAGGTCATATCCCTTCCTACCAATAACATCACTAACCTTGTGAGTTGAAACTTTATCAAAGCACTAACCGGGAAACTGGTTACTTGTGAGATAAAGTACAACAACAGAGCTCCTTTCAACTGAACTGTGCTACGACAAAGCCCCCTTAAAGATCTTTGCATCATACAATATCTTCTCACAACTTTTACCCTTTGATCATTTATTATAATGTCTTCAGATGATGAGGGATTCTTTGCAAGTTTGTCGTTGGGTAACATGTAGGGTTACCACACTTCCCCAAAAAGTCTTACATTTCACAAAACCATTTCTAGCATGTCTTTCACCAACAGCTCAGAAAGTCGATTAAAGGTTCAGATACTAAAACAACTTCCTGTGTTGCTGTGCAAAAGATCACGCATAATGGAGAAGTGCTGGGTACAAGTCAGGGTGTGAAGGCACGTTTTGAAATAGAGCAGCAACATGGTCTGAAGGAGCACGAATACTTTATATTCACTCAGAGCACAAGATGTTAGCTCATTTGTCCTTGTTCATTAGTGGTTATTTGGACATTAGAGGAGTCTGAGAGACAGCTGAGGCCTTTAGATGAACTTTAAGAGTCAGAACAAAGAAACCCAGAGGCCAGGGCATCTCATTAAACACAGACTGTGAACAGAAGCTTGTGTTTACGTGTCTGGTTTTTCTTGAGGGTTAAAGTGATGTATGTGGACAGGGCTAAACACATAATGTCATCACATAAATAAGATTAACTGCAAATGTGTTAACTGTATGTTCAATTTAAACTCTAAAGTCACGTTATGGACTAACTGTGGGTGTCTAGTCAGTCAGATCTCAGTCTTTTTTGCAGTCACTACACGGCACTATATTGGCAATGTATTGTGTGTAAGCATCAAAAGCATATTCAAGTTCCTTTTTGCAAGTTCCTGCTTTTCATTTCAGATAGCTGGAAGCATTTAAAAGTCAGAACAGGACTGCATTGTCATCCAACTAGCAGAACTAACATGAATTTGCTGGCTAGCTAGATCTGTGATTTGTTCAGGTCAAAGTAATCCATTTTGGATCAGATCAAAGGCTGAATTACATTTCGGCTAATTCGTTGAACTTTAAAGACAGACCAAAAAAGAAGGAAACCTCATGACTTGATATCAAAGTCCAAAAATAAAAGGTCTTTCTTCTTTATCCTACTGGAGACCGCTGCCAAAACCCAACATATTGACAAATCACATTAGTGCTTCTTCAAGGCAAAAACAGTCGGCGCCTCAGAAGCTCGAAACTAGAAAACACAACAGGAAAGATTGATGGGTTTCAGCATCAGCGATATCAACAGAGCCTTCATTGGACTCATCTAAATCTCTTCTATCTAGCTTACAAAAGGAACACCTTTTAACTGCTCATCCTTATAATTCACAGGTCCTTTTACAAGATATAGTATACAGCTTGTCAATGTTGTCAGTTCAGTAGAAAAGGCTGTCTTTCTCAAAGGACTGCACCAAACATTGTTTTTCTTAGATTTCCCAGTATGTGTTCGATCAAAGGAGAGTGAAACCAACGCCAATGTTCAGTTTGCTGTCACTGATATGAGGTTTTCTTATTGACTTTGATGGTGTCCAGCCCTCCAGACTTATACATACATGGCGGCTGTGGCTCAGTGGGTACTGTGCTGGACTTCGAATCAGGGGATAGCAAGTTCGAGTCCCACTGCAGTCAGCATGTCTTTGTGTCCCTGAGACACTTCACCCCAAATTGCTCCTGTGGGGATTGTCCACAGTACTGAATGTATGTAAGTCGCTTTGGATAAAAGCGTCTAACAAATGGCATGTAATGATAATTAATACACATCCATCATTCCTCTTTTTCCCTCTACAACTTGACTTTTAGCTCGTAGCTATTCCAGCAAACTGATGTTTCAATCCATCATTCAACCTCTATAAATAAACTGATTCATAAAGTCCCTTTGTTCTTTCCATTCACCTCCTCTTAACCTTCATGTCCTTTATCACAACGTCCATTTATAGACAAACTGATGCATTACCACAGTTTTGACACAGAAGTCTTTTTAGTTTTATATATATATGACTTTAAGTACAATATATAAGTAAATACACATGGTACCCAGAGGATGAATCATTTCTCTTGATGAGATTAACGATAAGATTACAATTCTTGCCAACTTTTTTAGATGGATTGTCACCAAATCTGAATTAGACATTGATGTTTCCCTTAGGGCTGTGCAATTAATCGTATTTTAATCGCAATTACGATTTTGGCCTGCCACAATTAGGAAAACAACATAATCGGAAAAAACAATTATTTTGCTTTGCTAGGTTGTGACCGTGCACTGCAACATATTTGATCTAATTAATTTTGGTCTAATTTATTTGTATTTATCATATTTACATATGTTTAGTAGCTTGGGGAAGTGCGCTCCAAAATATTTGTTGATCTTGTTTATTGGTATTTATTATTTTGATATTATTTATTTAAATGTAAATATAAATGTATCATTTATTTTATTTATTTTTGTATTGGTTTTTCAGTTGAATTATACGTTCAGGGTAATCAACAGTTAAAAAGATACTGTTCAAATTATTATTTGTATTTGTTTTAAAGTTCAATAAATGAATTTTTTCAAAGTCAATGAATAATCGTATTTAATAATCGTGATATCAATTATTGACCCAAATAATCGTGATTATGATTTTTGCCATAATCGCACAGCCCTAGTTTCCCTCATAATGAATTCATGTTTTTTTTTAGGTTGGTCCAACATTTTGGTTTAGGACCAAATTAATATAGGACTAATGGCATTCCTATGTCTCAGCTGTACTTGTTAAGTTCTTATTAACATGTCAAATTAATATTAGTATGTTAGCATCGTCACAATGGTTAGCATTGGCATTTAGCACAAAGGACTGTAGAAAAGTAAAGCCACTCAGAGCAGCTTAGTCTTCTTGTTTCCAACCAACAGTCAGAACCTTAAGGGTATTCATTTACAATCATATCCTTATCTCAATTAAGAAGCTCAAACTATTGAATGTTTTGCATTTTTCTTAATAAAGGATTAGAGGAACTGTTGATCCATGAATCAACTAACGGCACTTTGAAACAAAAACGACCTCAGACATTAAATAGTAAGACAGTTCAGTAAAAATGTGTTTCGCTCTGTTATTCAGAACTCTGGGTTTCTCGTGAAATGACAACCGGATCTGACTTTCCCTTTTACAAAAGGGAAGGAAGATGTCATGACCCTTTTTACCCTTTGCTGACAGTCTAAAATAAAGTTCCTAGATTTCCAAACTGTTTGTCAAATGTGGGAACTAAACGCCCTCAAATTTTACTCAAGAGGCACTTTCACACCAAGTACTTTTCCCAGGAATAGTTCCCGGAACTTTTATTTCCTGGAACTATCTAGTAAATCGTGTTCACACCGGAATAAGCCCTGCGGGAGCCACTGACGTAATTTCTTCTTCTTCTGCTTTGGGTTTACTGGCAGGCCGCAAACAACTTCACGGCGTATACTGCCACCCGAAGTCCCCGGCCAGAATTCCCCGGAGTTGGGGACTGGCTTCAGTAGAAGCTGCTGGGACTCCCAGCAGCTTCTACTGAAGCCTTCCGAGTAAATCGCCAGAACGCCGACACCTCCTCATCACTCCACCGCTCCCATGCTTTCTTATGTGTTGCCATAAGTTATTCTCTCTCCGTTGGTGCGCTGGGCTAATGCTAATGCTAATAATGCTAATGCGAGCAAATAAAATGGCGGCTTCATAACAACTTTTCAGAGTTTTACGGGGCGTGGTTTGCAATTCGCCCAGCCAATCAGAAAATGGAACCTTTTTCTCCCCAGGAAAGTCCCTGCTCTCTAGCAGGCACTAAAAAGGGGTGAAAAGGTTTGTAAAGAAAAGTTCTAGTTCCAGATCTTTTTGGTGTGAACGCAAAATCCCAGGAACTATCGGAACTATTCCTGGGAAAAGTACTCCGGTGTGAAAGCGCCTAAGGCTATTTTTTCGATAAAACATAAATGCCTTAATGTTGTGGTTCTTTATATAGCCTTCCTCCCAATTATTATTTTAAAACTCAGTAATAAACTTCTCCCTTTTGTCCCTTATCTCCATTTCGGAATTGCCGAATGAAAGGTAACACAGGTTGTAAAGCTACAAATATTATGAGAAAGATTATCTTGAATCAGTTCATTTTAATAAACATATATCTGTTCCTTCACCCTCTCTGTCCTGTCCTCTGTATCTTTGTGATTATACTGACGTGGACTTCACCTTGTCAACACTAAGGGTCTTATGTCTAGAACTTCACGTTATCTTGCATCACTGCTATAAAAAAAGAGTGCATTAAGGTCCTACCATCAGTGAGGTTCCCATGACTATCAGCTCATTATTACTCTAGTCCGATCCCCTTTTCCTGTAATCAGCAGTAGTGACGCTTCAAATCAAGCGCTTTTTAATATCATATTATCATCATCATATCAGAAGTCCAGGGCGAGAAAGTATTGACCTTATATTCTGTAACTCGTGAGTTTTATGCTCTTATTGGTGATCTAATTTACTCCTTTTTTCATTATTAATACATCTTCTCGCTATTTTCTCGATTCATTGATTAGCAAATTTCCCAGACCCACTATATATATGTCTTCTATGCGTCATGGTGACAAAACATTAGTCTTACATCAAAAGATATTGAGTCAACTCATAAAAGAAAGCCACAAAAAGAGAGAACATTTTCAAATTTAAGGAACTGGAACCATTGAATTTAGTCATTTCCACTTAAAAAATGCCTCTTGTTCAATCGACTATCATAAATCAATTGACAAAAATGTATTTGTTTTAAAATGTGTCAGCTTTAAAAGAACATAAATGCAATTGATTGTCTTTTGTTAAGATTTCACGATATACTTTTTTTGCCCGTGTTTATATAAATCATTCATTAATCTCAGACTTTGCCTCCCTTGGTGTTGTTAGACAGTTCAGTTGACGTCATTTTTCCACTTTCTTAGCAATCCGTCTAGATTTTAAACGCTAAATCATGCTCCATTTGAAGTGTAAAACAACAACCCGAGGATGACGTGACCTTGTTTACAGTTTGTCCTACATCTGAACAACAGGCATCTTTGTACCAACATGAAAACAACTTGACTTTATTTTTCCAATGTGTGCAACCGTAGAGAAATGGTCGAAATGTAAATCAGTCAAGGTTTACATTAAGATTCGACACACTGGGGAACAGTGGGTACACAGATAGAAATAGGTTGAAAGGGACCTAACAAATCACAAAACTGACAAATACAGATGAAGGAGAATCATTTAAACAATGACGTAGGGGTTGGGCAATATGGAAAAATTCAAATATGACAATATTATGGACCATAGATCTCAAAATGGACATTGCGACAATATTGTAGGGTTGACTTTTAGAGCCTCCATCAAATATTTACACAAGGACTAGAATGAGAAAAGTGGGTAAAGACAATAAAAACAACTCAAATGAATGACATCCCTTCAATGTCATGAAGCCTTTAAAACCAGGAGAATAAATATTACTATATCCCTAATCGAAGATGATATCCAGCCTTATATAAAGATATCAATATAATGTCGATATAGTGCCCAGCCCAACATGACCACAAGAAAAACTTGATTTATATTAGCAGCGATTTCATGTAAGCTCTTAGCTGGAAGCTGCTTTTATGTATTTAATGTAAGAGAACTGAACCCCATGTTCATGCAATAGGCAAAATAATCCAATTGTGTAGCAACAATGCTTTCATATGCAATGATATGTCAATTAGTTGATTGAAACTGACCTTGTGAATCCAGTCTATGTTGTTCAAGCTTCTTAAAATGTGAACGTTTCCTGCTTTTCTTCAACATAAAGTAAAGTGAATATATTTGGATTTTTGCACATTGGTTTTAATGCATAAAAAAGCCTTCTAAATACATTATTTTGGGCTTTAGAAACGGGAATGTTTCACCATTTCTGACATTTAAAAAAACTAAACAATTAGAATAAATAAGCAGAAATAGGCCTTGACGATGATTAAAAAACATCTGCTTCTGCCTATCTAATTTTCAGCCCATATTGACCCCAATATTTAAACTGTTTTGTCTGTTTTGTGATTACTGAATCCTCTTCTTGGTGGACCTGCATGATGGAACTAGATTATGCCAAAATGGTGAAGTCATCAGGTCAACTACAATCAATTTCTCCCAATAATACATCACATCACAGAGAACAAAACGCCCTTTGCCCTGTTACCAGAAAGATTCACACAATAACTGCTGACCTACATAAAAGCAATCAAACTTGACTGGGTTTTGATGGGATTCAAAGATCAGTTATGCAAGATGACGTGAAGCATCTTTCTTGAGTCTGAATACAGCTGCCAGTAAAATCTCTTTAAATTAGTTTATTGTCACACAATATGTCAGTGTCACGATTCAGGCAGACTCCTTGTGTGTTGAAACCTGCTGACACTGAACAAAAGGTGAACTTAACAAACAACTTGGCCTGAAGACAGAGCAAAGGTCCAGCTGTTTCCAGAAAAAAAACTGCTGCACACTGCGATACTTTTAAAAACAACACTTTACTGACAGGCTGTCGACACAAGTTAGATCGTAGGTGAACAGAATATCTGCTGACGGCGGATACATCAATCAAAGAGGCATAACGTGTGAGTGTGAGTGTGTGAGTGTGAGTGTGAGTGTGAGTGTGAGTGTGAGTGTGAGTGTGAGTGTGAGTGTGAGTGTGAGTGTGAGTGTGTGAGTGTGAGTGCAGACTGACCTCCAGCTCTGTCTCACATCTGTTGATGTCGTCAGTGGACTGGTTGAGTTTCTCCAGCTCCCCCTGAGAGAAAGGTTGGAACAACAGAAATGTAAGGAGGAGAAATGGGGTGAAACATAATATCTATATATCATATAGTATTGGAGGGGGAACGTCGGCAACATCTGGAAAACATTAAGTGGAACACAGTGGAATTTGGACAGATTCATATAGAACAAAGGTCACTATCCAAATCACACATTACGTTTTTAGAGAATAAAACAAGTACAGCTGTGGATAAACATAACATTTAATAACTATTAATTGTAACCTTGCACTGGTCTGACATCGTCTCCCTGGTACAGATTGTGATGCATGAACTTGTCTGCAGATCATTTTTAATCCAATACCAGTGCTCTCTTGTTCTCCAACTTTAAAATATGTGCATTTCACTGCAAGATTGTCATGTGGCAAGAAATCCTGAGTATTCATGACCTGCAGAAACCGGACATTGTTTGGTGACATTAAAGTGTATTCAATGTGGATCGGTCACATCTTATATAATATATAAAAAGGTACATAAGGTCAGCTTCGACCTTCACACCAATCCAGCAGATGGGATTGGTGCTTCCCACATTTTTCTCTAAAATTGATCAGTTTGGAAGACAACTGAAGAATAGTCTATTCAATATGTTGACAGATTGCAGATAAAAGAAGGAATCATGATTCATATTTTTATAAAGATAATCTGCAGAATTCTCACATTTGATGAATCCTTATTTTGACAAACAAGTTGTTTCTCAAGCAAAAACACTGAAAATGAGAATATGTATTTGTTGTTTTTCCTCAAAACCTTAGATCACAAGGCATTCTAGTCTTGAGGGCTTTTTACTTATTTTACCTCTTGATTATTTTGTGTACTTGTGTGTATGTAAGAAGCTGTCACTTTATTTTGAAAAGGTCTGCGTAGCTTTAAAATATGTATTGACTTAATTTAAATTAAAAAATGTTTGCATCTTTTAGTATATGCTACAGTATGTCTCTGTGTTAATGCACAGTTGTCCCTGAACATATTTTAGTAGGCTATTACAGTTGTCATCAGATTGTCAGATCGTCAGATTTAACACAATTGCAAAACAATAACCATAATCTTAAAGATCTTGTGCCAACTGTATAACTGTATATTTAGACATTAGATGTAAACTGAGGGGCAACATTTTCTTTAATCAATGTAATAAAGCAACATGCTGAGTGTGCATGATGCCAGGACTGTGCTCTGCTGACATTCAGGGCTGGACCACAATGAACACAGAAAACACAATAACAAATAATACCGAGTAAAATCTGCATTACCTGGATTCTGGGGTCCACTGCTTCTTCCTCATATTCAGCCTCGTCCTCCGCCCGGAGCTCCTTCTCTAAATGCTCCATGCTGCAGGTGAAGGGCAGATGAAACCAGCCGAACAAAGGGACGTTTCCTCGGGACTCTCAGAGACCTGAGCCGCGATCAGAGACGCGTCGGAATCCCGAGCCGTGCTTTAATCCGCAGGTTATTTGAAATGTATTTTAAGGTGTTTTTTGGAAGAGGACCATCTCGGTTTGTATCCACAGGCAAGAGGCCGAGCAGCAGTGTGTATCCCCGCTCAGCTCTTCCTCCACACTGACGGAGCTCAAATGTCCGAGGCTGTGTTTCAGACCAGGAACGCCCCTTCTGAGTCTGCAGAGTGTATGAGGAGTGTTTAGTGCCCTGTGGTGGTGAAGGCGAGTAGGAAAATGCATTAAAGGTCTCCTATTATACTGTTTTTCATCAATATATTACAGGTATCAGATATGTATATATACAAAACCTGTCTCTGAAGTGTTTGGCTGAAACACCAAACAGATCATTGTATTCTGCACTATTACTATTTCTATTATATTCTATTTTATTTTATTTACTTGCACTATTATCTGTTTTATTGTTGTTGCACTGTTGGAGGAGCCTGTGACCTAAGAATTTAATTGTCATAACTATACTGTAGCTATGCACAAATGACAATAAAAGCCTTGAATCCTGAATCTTGATGGTCACACAAGCCAAAAAAAACATATTCTGCTTCTGAGGGGGGTCTTTTTTCCTGAAACTTTCAGAATCTCTTTACACAGAGGAGACACATGAAAAAGTCGATTTTGCATAATAGGTGACCTTACCTACAATCTGTTTTATCTTTTTCTACATATATATACAGTATTATTGTTATGACTAACAAGGCCTGGGACCCCCACTGACACTGTCATAAACTCAATGCATTACATTAATGCACACAATGTACACAATATCTTGTTTTTCATTACACATATTTTATTCCAATTCTATTTCTACGATTATAACCATATTCAATGTAAATATTGTTATATTTTACTATATTTTTTTCATATTTATTTTTTCTTCAAATAGTTTTCTATCTGTGTTTTTATGTATGCACCACAACATCAAGTCAAATTCCTCGTATGTTTTAACCTACCTGGTAATAAACCTGTTTCTGATTCTGATTCGGATATAATAATTCCTGCATATTAGCTCTGCTCTATTTCTTCTTGCACAACATTATTTTATTTCTGTTCATATACTAAACATTTACCTAGGGGATTAAGTATTATCATTGCCAACATACAGTATACACTGTAGTTGTTCCTTATGTGGCGATATATAAACACAATCCTGGATATTTGAGTTGACGTGAGCTACTTGTGCTTGACTAAAGTGTTTTTTTTGTTGTTTTTGTTATGCCACATATTACTTGCACTTCAGGGCTGGAGTCAGCTTTGAGGGTCAGGGGCAAAACATTTAAAAGGGCATTTGCTTTACTATTAAAGGGCCGGATTATCCCAAAACCTAAACATATGTTTCCTCTCAATTGCAGAGCTTTCTCTTAACCTTGTTTAAGAGTTATCCAGTGTTGAAGATACTGCCTGCTCTCAAATACATTGGAACTAAAAGCTCAAAGTGCCAACAAATATCAGGCTTTGAATTTCACTAATATGAGGATGTGCTGTATTTTGTATTATGTAATCTAAAGTATGTGAGTGAATGTTTGTTTTTTTCCCCAAATGAGCAGGGATGGCAATGTTGGATTTGCAGGATTTGGATGAATTTTATCAACTTTTAGGCTGTATCTCGATTACATTTCCAATTTTCTATATCCTGTTATAATTAATAGAGGATTGAAGGCTGTTTATGTTTTCTGTGTTTCAAAATGTGACACAAGTCTCTGTACAAGACATACATTCCTCAACACTGACTGTTCTTGGAAATGAATTACTATCTGTGGTTCACTAATAAATCTTTTATGATGCAGAAAACACTGTGAGGATGGTTCCTAGAAGAAGTCAACAACAAAGTTATATATACAGATAATTAAATTAAGTTAGAAACCAAACTGAGAAAGAACATGTAATGAAATTATAGAGGATTATTTAATTATAGTTGTTTTTTAAATGTAAGTTATAGAAGAAATCACTTCTCACAATGCTGTGCTTTAAAGTAGGAACAATTGTTATGTAATGTGCTATGTTACAAGTGCATACATATGTAGTGGTGTTTTTCAGTAATTAGTGTTGCATTCAAACAAAATCAGATTAATTTTACGATGTTTGTTTCTTGCCGGTTAATGTCATAATTCAAGCAGCAGTAAATGTTGTTAACCTGTTAAGCCCTGAGCCTGTTTTTCAGGTCTCAGGCTCGAAAATGACATTCCCAGAACAAATGACCATATCTTCCCTTCTAAAAGGGTTAAATTAATAATCTTTTTTCTCAAAGTAATGATAAACCTGTGAGTTGGATGTAGAAAAGTCGAAATCAATATAGATGTTTTTTATTTTAAAGAAAATTCAGATTTTACATAGTAAAAAACTGTAAATTATAGTGTCCGTCCAAAGATTATTTTTTACTTATAGTGAAAACTACCCTTGGATGATGGGTTAGTAGACTAAAAGCTTTAGGAATCCAAAGTACAACATATAATAAGTACCCTGTATCAAGATTGATGCAAAACAAGTGACATTTGACCTTTATAGAGAGATTTAGCAAAAATAAACCACTTCTGGGGTCATTTGGGTGGAAATGATTTTTTTCCATATCTCTGGAACCCATTGGTCGATTTTGATGGTTGACACCTCTTTCTAACCGTTAGAGCCAATACAATCGAAGGGGGAGTCCCCCACACACACTCATTGTGAAACAAAAAGGTGGGGGCTTTGCGCATGTAATTTTGCATTAGAGTGAAGCTACATTCTAGCTCTGACATCTAGAAACGGAATAGCATGGATTATCCGTTTTATTGCTCATGGATTATCAGAAATCATTTCAAAGGAACACAGACACATTGGAGAGACTACAGAGCCAAGGTAACCTTGTTAGCATCTTTAGCTACCTAGCGTCACCTGTTTTGATGTCTGTTTTTGTTTATAACGTCGTGAATTCGTAGAATTCAGTGATAATGAGGATACCCTTCGATTCTGTGTCACCTCACGGTGTTAGCATTTTTCGCTCGTTGCCAATTCAGAGGCTCAGTGTTAGCATTGTGGGTTTTCTTTTGAAAAAAAAAAAAAAATGATCAGTTAGATGAGTTTCTTCCCGTTACATGGATATAAAACATTCATAGTTTATTAAATGAACATGCCCTCAGACACTGTTTCCTGCAAGATGTTGCGGCAGTGCCCCGGTACCGGGGTCTCTCGGGCTTAACAGGTTGTTAACAGAGTTTCCAAGAGTCATTTGTAGTTGAATAAAAGCTGATATGTTATGTTGACCTAAAAAAATAAGATATGTAAGAAGTGAAAGCACCCAGTGAACCCGGAGTTTTTGGAAACATGTTCACCCTTTTTAATCAACAAAAAACCTAATATCAGAGGCAAAACCTATTGGCTAGCGTTCCAACACATTGTACGTGATATGCTGAGGGGCGGGACATCTCTAAGCGGTTGACCAATCACAACAGAGCCGGCCAGCTGATCAATCAGAGCAGAGTGGGCTCTGGTTTCAGACAGAGGGTGAAAAGAGGTGCTGCAGCACAGGCAGTATGAGAAAAATAAAGAGCTTTTTCAACATTAAAGCATGGAGACATGTCACAGTAGAGACACTACATACTGATATACACCTGAACATCAGCAGGAGAGGACTCTTTAAAGTAGAGACACTACATACTGATATACACCTGAACATCAGCAGGAGAGGACTCTTTAAAGTAGAGACACTACATACTGATATACACCTGAACATCAGCAGGAGAGGACTCTTTAAAGTAGAGACACTACATACTAATATACACCTGAACATCAGCAGGAGAGGACTCTTTAAAGTAGAGACACTACATACTGATATACACCTGAACATCAGCAGGAGAGGACTCTTTAAAGTAGAGACACTACATACTGATATACACCTGAACATCAGCAGGAGAGGACTCTTTAAAGTAGAGACACTACATACTGATATACACCTGAACATAAGCAGGAGAAGACTCTTTAAAGAAGAGACACTAAATACTGATATACACCTGAACATCAGCAGGAGAGGACTCTTTAAAGTAGAGACACTAAATACCGATATACACCTGAACATCAGCAGGAGAGGACTCTTTAAAGTAGAGACACTACATACTGATATACACCTGAACATCAGCTAGAGAGGACTCTTTAAAGTATAGACACTACATACTGATATACACCTGAACATCAGCAGGAGAGGACTCTTTAAAGTATAGACACTACATACTGATATACACCTGGACATCAGCAGGAGAGGACTCTTTAAAGTAGAGACACTACATACTGATATACACCTGAACATAAGCAGGAGAGGACTCTTTAAAGTAGAGACACTACATACTGATATACACCTGAACATCAGCTAGAGAGGACTCTTTAAAGTATAGACACTACATACTGATATACACCTGAACATCAGCAGGAGAGGACTCTTTAAAGTATAGACACTACATACTGATATACACCTGAACATCAGCAGGAGAGGACTCTTTAAAGTAGAGACACTACATACTGATATACACCTGAACATAAGCAGGAGAGGACTCTTTAAAGTAGAGACACTAAATACTGATATACACCTGAACATCAGCAGGAGAGGACTCTTTAAAGTAGAGACACTACATACTAATATACACCTGAACATCAGCAGGAGAGGACTCTTTAAAGTAGAGACACTACATACTGATATACACCTGAACATCAGCAGGAGAGGACTCTTTAAAGTAGAGACACTACATACTGATATACACCTGAACATCAGCAGGAGAGGACTCTTTAAAGTAGAGACACTACATACTGATATACACCTGAACATAAGCAGGAGAAGACTCTTTAAAGAAGAGACACTAAATACTGATATACACCTGAACATCAGCAGGAGAGGACTCTTTAAAGTAGAGACACTAAATACCGATATACACCTGAACATCAGCAGGAGAGGACTCTTTAAAGTAGAGACACTACATACTGATATACACCTGAACATCAGCTAGAGAGGACTCTTTAAAGTATAGACACTACATACTGATATACACCTGAACATCAGCAGGAGAGGACTCTTTAAAGTATAGACACTACATACTGATATACACCTGGACATCAGCAGGAGAGGACTCTTTAAAGTAGAGACACTACATACTGATATACACCTGAACATAAGCAGGAGAGGACTCTTTAAAGTAGAGACACTACATACTGATATACACCTGAACATCAGCTAGAGAGGACTCTTTAAAGTATAGACACTACATACTGATATACACCTGAACATCAGCAGGAGAGGACTCTTTAAAGTATAGACACTACATACTGATATACACCTGAACATCAGCAGGAGAGGACTCTTTAAAGTAGAGACACTACATACTGATATACACCTGAACATAAGCAGGAGAGGACTCTTTAAAGTAGAGACACTAAATACTGATATACACCTGAACATCAGCAGGAGAGGACTCTTTAAAGTAGAGACACTAAATACTGATATACACCTGAACATCAGCAGGAGAGGACTCTTTAAAGTAGAGACACTACATACTGATATACACCTGAACATCAGCTGGAGAGGACTCTTTAAAGTAGAGACACTACATACTGACATACACCTTAACATCAGCAGGAGAGGACTCTTTAAAGTAGAGACACTACTGTACTGATATACACCTGGACATCAGCAGGAGAGGACTCTTTAAAGTAGAGACACTACATACTGATATACACCTGAACATCAGCAGGAGAGGACTCTTTAAAGTAGAGACACTACATACTGATACACACCTGAACATCAGCAGGAGAGGGCCCCTTTAAAACTAACTGCATGACAAGAAGCTACACTTTCATGACAAACATCTGCTTCAGCGGATTATGCAACAACCATCCAGAACACATCAAATGCGTCTTCAAACTGAACAAACTGAAGCCCGCAGGATAACCTTTTATCCGCTGAAAGAGGTTACACAAAACATTCATATCACTCTCCAAATATTACAGACATGTAGAAGGAAGCAGCGTTTCTCTCTGTCTGCATCACATCTTTTGTTTCCATTGCTGTTTGCTCACCAGAGGAGAAAGTATGTAAGTGCAGAGACTGAAAAGACAGAGAGGTCTGAGGTGACATCACAGTAGTTACATAACCATCACAATGTGCCGGCTTACATCAAGGGGGGGGGGCTGAGAGGGAGAGCGTTAGGAGGCTGAGGCACTGAGGAAGGGAGAGACGATGAGAAATTAAATGAAAAACCTCAAGTGATTTACTGCTGCTTTCCCCAAGCACAGGGAAACACATGAAGACTCCTATTTCAGAGAGGGAAGGAATAAACAGCGGGGAAAATGCCTTTAGTTGAGATTATACTCAGTGCTTTCCATAACCAAAGCTTTCCCATCTTTTATAATAAACCGAGTGCACTTTTGGTTTCATTCTGTCATTAAACAACTGACACATACTATGATTTACACAATTTCACCACATCACAATACATATACAAAAGCACAGAGAACATAACATAATCAAGCATGGACAAATGTAAAAACAAAAACAAATGTATTATTAAGCTTGGAAAGGAGAGTTTAATAATCTAATGCCTTCTCACTATTGTCCCCCAACACTAATATATTTTTCAAGGACTGTTAAACTGTGTTTTGTACGTTTAATTTGCAATGTGAGAAAACTTTTGCGATGGATTTTCAGAACACATCTTCACCAGAGATTCAAACCTGATCTCAGACACCCTTAAGAGGAAAAACAGCTGAGGAAAACTAGTTAATAAAACACTCTTTGTGGGAACTAACAGGATCAAGCAGTCACATTGTGTTAATGAGCAATGGCAGATCAATTCAAGTATTTCCAGCAAAACATATTTTCTTGATTCCATTTTCATTTCTTGAAGGTCTAATTGAAAAATATTTGAAAGAAGCTTGTATTGCCCTCTTATAATTGATAAAAAAAAAAATATTTAAGTCATTCACGCAGGCATTCAGAGCCAGCATTGTTAACACCCTCAATACACAGACAGTCCTCCACACTGTCTGCTTTTAAATCGCTTCTTAAAACCCACCTTCTCCTTAGCGTTTTGACATCTTGTAGATTGTTGCTTTTATTGCTTTTAAATTATGTATTGTTTTTACTTGTACTTGTTTTATGACGTGTGATCTGAGCTGTGTGATTTGTTGTATGTGTGTTTGTTTATTTGACTGTACTAACACTTTGGTCTGGAGGTTTTAAAGTGCTTTATAAATAAAGCTTTGTTGTATTGTAATATACAGTAGCTGCCAAAGCGTTGCACCTCCTATAAAAACCATCAACACGGAAGGTGAAGGTGCAGAAACGATGAAAGCGACGCAGAGCCTGAAGGACGTCCAGAGTCAGCAGGTTCTCTGGGGATCTGTCTGAATATCAGGATGTGTGTGTGTGTGTGTGTGTGTGTGTGTGTGTGTGTGTGTGTGTGTGTGTGTGTGTGTGTGTGTGTGTGTGTGTGTGTGTGTGTGTGTGTGTGTGTGTGTGTGTGTGTGTGTGTGTGTGTGTGTGTGTGTGTGTGTGTGTTGTGTGTGTGTGTGTGTGTGTGTGTGTGTGTTGTGTGTGTTGCGTGTGTATGTGTGTGCTTGTGTCTGTTTAAATATGATTTACTGCTACTTCCAGACAGGAAGATCTTTTCATTGGCATTGATGAATAGAAAATGTATTGGGGGAATGCTCCTGGGAACATAATGGAGACTTGCATAAACCTCCATTTTAAAATATATGTTTAAAAAGAGTAGGTAATTGATAAAATACATGAGTCCCTCCCGAATGACTGAATGACTCAAGTTTATTTAAGCTTATGTGTCATCAGATTTTTAGTTTTCCACAAAAAACCCAAGAGTTGTATCCTGATAAATGACTTTCTTATTGTGAGAAAACATTTCCTCTGGAGCTCAGACTCAATCCACTTCTCCTCATCTGATTTCTGTAGGAAATAAAAACTCTTACTCTTATCCTGGGTAACTCTGGATTACAGTGTCAGCTAAATGCTAAAGTGGTAATATAACTCAATGTAGACTGTAACAATGTGTTGAGTGTTGCAGTCACACAGAGCTTGTATTCACAGCAGAAGAGAAGCAGCGAGTATCGGTTTAAATGTCTTTAAGCGTCCTGTAAGTGGCTCTGAATCAGATGGTCAGCTAAATGCCTGGATAGAAAAAAGGAAAATGTGCTTTCTTTCAGTTTAATTCCTTACTGACAGCAGAGGCACAAATACATATATGAACCTTAAAATTAGCAAAGCCTCTTTAAGAACTTGTTGTGGTCAAATGAATCATCATTTGACTTCATCCTTCCTGTGAGCAATCAGTGAAAAGCTTCCCTCAGACATCAAGTGTTTTAAATGACGTAATATCAGACAGAAATAATGTTGTTGTGGAGGAGACAGATCCGGATTTACCACTACTGCTAGGCTGAATCATACATTTCCTGAGAGAAATAAAGAAGAAGCAAAGCTAAGTTTACTACAATTTATTTAAAGGTCAAAGCTAACTCTGTAACCATGTTGCCACAAAGTCAACTCTTCTGGAAAATGCTTTAAAATACATTTAGAGATTAAATTGAAAGCTTGATGTTTGCCTGAAACACTGCAAACAACTGCCTAAGAGTAATAACCCAGTCTGGGTTATAATGAAAACACTTCATCAACATGCATGGCACAGAAAGTACAAAACATGGCTAAACATATTGAAATAACATCCTCTAGTGGTCACCAGCAGTTAGTACATCTAATCATATTCACAACGTTTTTACACTTTCAAGGCATCTGGAGATTAACCAATCCATTTATTATATTAAAAACATGCAAATAGCTTGAGTACAAACTGAATTTGAATGGTGCATTTCAGTGGTGTTGCTTTCAGACCATTTACATACACAAAAACCTATAGAGCACTACAGGAAAGGGACAACCCCAAAAAGCAGAAGAGGGCCCCTTTAAATAAATGTGTCTGTGTTTGTGATTGAGAGACAGACTGATTGCAGATGTGATTGATGGGTTGAGTCTTATATACGGAAGATAGAGGCACGCTTCATCTCACACATCCACTTGTGTTGTTCTTCACAGCTGACCCGGAACCAGTTCTTCAGAGACGACGTGTGATAGTCCACATATGCACAGTAAATGTTACTCGCAACTTTCGGTGTAGGTTCCTTCCAGTTTCTATGAAACAACACAAAATACGGATGATTTGGTTAGGGTGGAAAAGCAAGGCACTTCTGGATTGACTGTGTTTGTTTGACTTACACATGTATGTCGGTGTAAGCCATGTAATAGACTGATGAGTTTTCAAGGTTGTACCCTTTCTTTAGCTTTACAGTATGCAATGAGCATTTGGTGATTTTTAAGGATAATGTTTGGATAAAACCTCGGGTGGATTTGGTTAATTTACTTTGAAGCTGCTAAGATTTACCTGTTGTTTCAATCAAAGTTAGTTGCTAAATGTCAATGTGTAATAAAGTCCAAAATGTAATATGTCAATGTCAGATCTTCGCCTTAAATAAGGATCATCGTTCAAGTTTATAAAGATGTAAAAAGCCTTACCCATAACACAGGCTGATTGAATCCACCGTTGTCAAATACCAGCGGTTGGTTTCACTATTCAGGTTACCACTCAGGCCCATCCACAGTTTGGCATCACCTCCAAATCCACGGACAACTTTCTGTTCGGAAGGAAGTGAATTTAAAATACTTTATCAACTTTGGTTGGTGAGGCTAACCATAAATGAATTGGCTGTAGGATAATATCAGAATATCAGGATTTATATAAGAAATATAACAAATACCTCTTCTGCTTCATCATTCGAAACCACCAAATGAGATCCTTTGCTCTCACAGTCTTCTTTTGCGTGCTGCCAGGTGTTCTCACTGGAGGAAAGCTGGTAACAGGTGGACTCGTGGCTCTGCCATCCACTGGGACAACATGGGATGTTCTGTTCTGCTCAGGACCAAACACAGGACAGGACACGGGACAAGATGTGACGGGGCGAGACAAGTCAGAGAAGGGCAAGATGGGGGAAGGGAACAAGGCATAAGAAGACAACACAGGACAGAAGAAAAAGAAGGACAGGGGAGGACAGAACCAGACAGAGGACACATGTGATGATTGCAATAAAAGAAGTCAGAAAGTCTTGGAACATTTTCTAAACAGATTTACATGTTTAGATATTTCACAGGTTAAGAACATTTCAGCAAAAATATTACATTGTCTGACAAAATCTCATGGAACTTCACTCATTATATATATCAAGATATTTTAGCTTGGCCCAAAGGGGTGGACTGACAGAACGACTGAATGACATTGCCAACCATACATATACATATATATATATGTATATATATGTATATATATATAAATCAATACAGGTTCAACCCTTGTGTGGTGTTCATATTTTTGTTCTTCAGCCAGTGTTCTTGGGTCTGGTGGACCCGCTGCCTTTTTGCGTTTCAATTCAACACAATCAAACTATTTTATGTTAAAATGCTCAACAGATGTTTACTTCATCTCAATTATAAGCAATATAAACAGCATATATGGTTAATATTTGCCCTTTTACATTTGTTAGATCACATTAATGAATTAAAGTGCTACTCGTTTTTTTGCCCGCTGACCGGCTGGTCCTGTGGCTCGTCTTTAGTTTGTAACTAGCTGATGCTCAATCTCATCCTCTTTTTCAAAGTCACTGTCAGACTCAAGATTCTCAGAAATGTGATCCTCACATTCTGAAACCTCTTCCTCTTCCTCTACATCATCATCAAATGGTTCTCTCTCTTCCAAAATCATTTGCAAGGCCCTCTGAGCAGAGAATTGTTTGGCCATCTTGATCAGCTGTGATAAGGACCCAAACTGAAGAAGCTTTATTTATTGTGTCTCACCTCAAATTTGCAGCAGGGATAGAATGTGAACAAAACTAAGATTGGTTCCCGCAAGACATAATGCGGGAATGTGAGAGCAGACAGGTGTCGGTGCTTGCATTTACCAACAATGTTGCAACCTGGTGCGGGAATGGCAGGGGCAGAAACACAACACACACACACACACACACACACACACACACACACACACACACACACACACACACACACACACACACACACACACACACACACACACACACACACACACACACACACACACAGGAAAGGGACAACCCCAAAAAGCAGAAGAGGGCCCCTTTAAATAAATGTGTCTGTGTTTGTGATTGAGAGACAGACTGATTGCAGATGTGTTTGATGGGTTGAGTCTTATTTACGGCAGATAGAGGCAGGCTTCATCTCACACATCCACTTGTGTTGTTCTTGACAGCTGACCAGGAACCAGGTCTTCAAATACGACGTGTGATAGTCCACATATGCACAGGAAATGTTACTCCTAACATTCGATGAAGGATTCTTCCAGTTTCTATGAAACAACACAAAATACTGATTGGCGGATTTGGTTAGGGTGGAAAAGCAAGGCACTTCTGGATTGACTGTGTTTGTTTGACGCACACATGTATGTCGGTGTAAGCCATGTAATAGACTGATGAGTTTTCAAGGTTGTACCCTTTCTTTAGCTTTACAGTATGCAATGAGCATTTGGTGATTTTTAAGGATAATGTTTGGATAAAACCTCGGGTGGATTTGGTTAATTTATTTTGAAGCTGCTCAGATTTACCAGTTGTTTCAATCAAAGTTAGTTGCTAAATGTTAATGTGTAATAAAGTCCAAAATGTAATATGTCAATGTCAGATCTTCGCCTTAAATAAGGATCATCGTTCAAGTTTATAAAGATGTAAAAAGCCTTACCCATAACACCGGGGGCTTGAATCCACCGTTGTGAAATACCAGTGGTTGGTTTGCCTATTTATGTTACCACTCAGGCCCATCCACAGTGTGTCATCACCTCCAAATCCACGGACAACTTTCTGTTCGGAAGGAAGGGAATTTAAAATACTTTATCAACTTTGGTTGGTGAGGCTAACCATAAATGAATTGGCTGCAGGATAATATCAGAATATCAGGATTTATATAAGAAATATAACAAATACCTCTTCTGCTTCATCATTCAAAATCACCAAATGAGATCCTTTGCTCTCACAGTCTTCTTTGCGTGCTTCCAGGTATTCTCCCTTGAGGAAAGCTGGTAACAGGTGGACTCGTGGCTCTGCCATCCATTGGGACAATCTGGGATGTTCTGTTCTGCTCAGGACCAAACACAGGACAGGACACATCGGGACAAGATGTGACGGGGCGAGACAAGTCAGAGAAGGGCAAGATGGGGCAGAGAACAAGGCATAAGAAGACAACACAGGACAGAAGGAAAAGAAGGGCAGGGGAGGACAGAACCAGACAGAGGACACATGTGATGATTGCAATAAAAGAAGTCAGACAGTCATGAAACATTTTCTAAACAGATTTACATGTTTAGATATTTCACAGGTTAAGAACATTTCAGCAAAAATATTACATTGTCTGACAAAATCTCATGGAACTTCACTCAATATATATATCAAGATATTTTAGCTTGGCCCAAAGTGGTGGACTGACAGAACGACTGAATGACATTGCCAACCATACATATACATATATATATATATGTATATATATATATATATATATAAATCAATACAGGTTTAACCCTTGTGTGGTGTTCATATTTTTGTTCTTCAGCCAGTGTTCGTGGGTCTGGTGGATCCGCTGCCTTTTTGCGTTTCAATTCAACACAATCAAACTATTTTATGTTAAAATACTCAACAGATGTTTACTTCATCTCAATTACAAGCAATATAAACAGCATATATGGTTAATATTTGCCCTTTTACATTTGTTAGATCACATTAATTAATTAAAGTGCTCTTCTTTTTTTTGTAACTAGCTGATGCTCAATCTCCTCCTCTTCTTCAAAGTCACGGGCCGTTTCTCAATGTCGAGTACACCTGCTTCGGAGCCACTATTTCAAGTATACTACGTCATAGAGTGGCGCAGAATGCTGGGCATTTAACCTGTTAGGCCCCGAGCCTGTTTTTCAGGTCTCAGGCTCGAAAATGACATTCCCAGAACAAATTACCATATCTTCCCTTCTAAAAGGAGAAAATTAATAATCTTTTTTCTCAAAGTAATAATAAACCTGTGAGTTGGATGTAGAAAAGTCAGAATCAATATAGATGTTTTTTATTTTAAAGAAAATTCAGATTTGACATAGTAAAAAACTGTAAATTATAGTGTCCGTACATATTGTAATGCACTGTTGAGGAACCTGTGACCCAAGTTTTTCATTCATTGCATAACTACACCGTAGTTGTGTATAATATGATATGTCAATAAACCTTAGAAAATCTTGAAATCTTGAAAGGGATGTGCAAAATAGTCATTATATACAGTCTTTAATTAACTATTAGTAGAGAATAACGAGTAATGAATATACTTTATAGGGATCCTATTAATATCTAATAATACAAATAATAAAATGCAATAACGTGCTTTAACCAGTAGGTGTCCCTTTCTATCAGCTGTGCACCGTTATGGCGTAAATACAGCCTATCTACCAATTGGATCAAATATAAAAGTCAGCCGAATTAGTGTTGATACTGCAAGGAGACGTATTGTGTGAAAAGAAATTAAGATTGGCTCGCGCAAAACATAATGCGGGAATGTGAGAGCAGACAGGTGTCGGTGCTTGAATTAATCACACACACACACACACACACACACACACACACACACACACACACACACACACACACACACACACACACACACACACACAAACACACCCACACACACACACACACACACACACACACAAACACACACACTCACACACACACACACACACACACACACACACACACACACACACACACACACACACACACACACACACACACACACACACACACACACAAGGCCCAGACAGGTGCACAGGACCTACAATGTCCACACTTTTGTTGGACCCGAACATCCTGTATGTAATGTAAATGTGTAGGGGGGGGGGGGTGTACAGTGGGTGGTCATTAAAATGTGTTCTGATATATGTTCTTCACAGCAAATGAGCCAAGGCCATTGAGTGTGAGTTTGACAAAAATAATTTCATCAATCATATCATTTTTCTTTAGCTAAATAATGAAACCGGGTCCCACAGACCCGAACACCATACAAGGGTTAAAAACAGACTCACCCGACTGAATTTGATTTTGTAGTTCGGTGACCATCTGTCCTAACCGTGTGTTGTCATTGACCAGGTTGGTGTTATTGGCCGTTTGCTCTTTGTTTTCCTTTACCAGTTGATCCTTCTCTTGAACAAGTTGTGTTTTGTCTTGAACCAGTTGATCCTTCTCTTGAACCAGTTGCTTTTTGTCTTGAACCAGTTGATCCTTCTCTTGAACCAGTTGTGTTTTGTCTTGAACCAGTTGATCCTTCTCTTGAACCAGTAGATCCTTCTCTTGAACCAGTTGATCCTTCTCTCGAACCAGTTGTGTTTTGTCTTGAACCAGTTGATCCTTCTCTCGAACCAGTTGTGTTTTGTCTTGAACCAGTTGATCCTTCTCTTGAACCAGTAGATCCTTCTCTTGAACCAGTTGCTTTTTGTCTTGAACCAGTAGATCTTTCTCTTGAACCAGTTGATCCTTCTCTTGAACCAGTTGCTTTGTGTCTTGAACCAGTTGCTTCTTCTCTTGAACCAGTCGGTCTTTCTCTAAAATCAAGGCTTCAATGTCACCAGCTGACATTTTGGTGAAATTGTTCGTCGAAGCGTTGTTGGACTGGGTAGAACATTCAGCTAAAAAGAGAAACATATAAGAAGTGATGTTATCTCTATTGACTTGAAGTGGACAAAAATGTTAAAGGTCCCCTATTATACTGTTTTTCATCAATATATTATAGGTCTCAGATATGTACAAAACGTGTCTCTGAAGCGTTTGTCTGAAACAACAAACAGATCATTGCAGCATCCCATAATCCCCTCTGTTTCAGCCCTGTTTCAAAAGTGCTGATTCTGTGTCTGTAGCTTTAAATGCTAATGAGCTGCTGCTGGTCACGCCCCTCTTAGACGTGATTGGTTAAAAAAACGGAATGGTGCTCTAGGAGGAGATTCAGATGATAAGGGGGGGGGGGTTACCTTGGTTGGTGATTGGCTAATGGTTACTCAACCCAAAAAAACATTGTGACATCACAAAGTGACCAAAATCAGATCAGCTCATTTTCAGACGTTTTTATATAAATGGATCAGGACAAAAAGAGAGACAATCTTTTTTCCTGAAACTTTCAGAATCTCTTTACACAGAGCGGACACATGTTGATCTATAAAAGACATGAAAAAGTGGATTTTGCATAATAGGGGACCTTTACGTAATGCTGTGGGATGTACCCAATTGTTCATTTTTTAACTGTGTGCTGAAGGAAAGTGCTGAAACTCACCTGCTTGCAGCCAAAGTGAGACATTGAGAGCGGATTGTACGATGAACAGCAGGCCGAAGCTGACTGCCACCAAAATGTAGGTTTTTGACCCTCCTACAAACAGGCCAAAACACACAAACACCAAAATAATAACATTAACATGAAGATAATTATAAGTTACACGCACTGCATTTTGCTGTCATTTGTATTGGGTTCATGTCTTTTTTAAACTCTAGCTTTATTAAGCCTTTTCAGTTTTCTATACTTAACATACAAATGTATGCATCTTTTTTTTTGTACAGTAACCAACTGAACCATGGAAATAGAGATGCACGGTGGAAAAGATTACAGTATAGGCCTACTGAGTATTTCCCAGAAGAGTTAACACACTCACAAATTAAGAGGAAGTGGTTATATTGAAAAATTCTAAAGTATTGCTGATGTTACATTTTTAGAACATTGTATTTGATCATCAGCTGCACATAATCTTATACTTTCTTACAGCAGCTATGGAAGCCAACATGGAAGCAAGAGCAAGAGGAAGAGGAAGAGGAAGAGCTGAGAGTGAGAGGAGGAGGAAGAGCTTGGCTGAGAGTGAGAGGAGGAGGAAGAGTACTCTCTAATGAAATGAAATGTTATCAACCATGGTTTGACGATGAGAGAGGCTGGACAGAGGGTTAATCTAAGCCGATGTACTGTTGCCTCTGTAATCCGGACACTTAGACTTGAAAACAGGTTAGTTACCAGTTTCTAGCTCTGCATAATTCATGATATATCAGTGCTTATATCTGTTGTGTGAAACGTATTTACTTCATTACTGTAATTTAATTGTTGGCATGTTGCATACTATAACTGTACAACAATCCTGCACAATTGACTGTGGTAGACTGACTTTTATGCAACACAGAAACTGACCAACCACGATATCTTTGTTGTTTATCTGAAGGACTGAGAAACAAAGAGGTGCAGGTGGAAAGCTCAGGGTTTTCAATGAGGCAGGAAGCAGCAGTTACAAACTGGGTTTTGGCAAACAATGCCATCACACTTAGAGAGATCCAAAGCATACGTGCTGAGATGCATGTTGCACCATGTTATAATTGAATAAAATATGATTTTTGTACTCATTTGTATTTCTTCATTTACTGTATTTCTGTAAACTCAAGCAATCTTTCTCTGCAGAACCCTCTATGTACAGAGCATAGCCCATAACAGATGAAAGTGCTTTAGATTATGACCAGCAGTGTGTAGTTGGGTGGTCAAACAATCTAGTATTATGAATGAAGTGTGTTATATTTGGTGCAAAAGTTTGCATTTGGTAAGTGTTTATGTCGTTTTGAGTGCAGTTCTTCACTTAGCAGGAGAAATGAGGTGTTTTGCACTTTGGGTGTGTGGTTTTGTGAATTGTGTTTAGTGTTCTGAGAAACTGAGCAATTTAAAAAAAAATGTATGTTAGCAATCGAGAAAAACTGTAAGAAGTCCTTTAAAACAGTAGTCATTTTAAAATAAATAACTTGAAGAAAGCAGGTTATTTATATTTGGATTGTTTTGTTTGTTTCGTAAAAATGTATCAATAAGCTTTATTTCTTTAAGGAAGCTTGCGAAACCCAAAAAATAATTCACATGGAAAAACAGTTACAAGCTGCCATCTAAAGAAAACATTTAAAAGGGTCAGAGATAAAAAATAAATAAAAAACGTAAACTTACTTGAAGTATTCTGACCTGGATGAGGTGGTTCTCTTTGTGCCCGTCCATTTGTTCTTTCATTAGCTGGTAATTTGGCATACTCTCCCATCTCCATTTTTCTTACAGTGACAGTCTTCAACCAAAGCTTCATAAAGCTCTTTGTAAATGTGTGAACGTATCCGTTTTTATAGCTTTTGTGGTGTGTGTGTGTGTGTGTGTGTGTGTGTGTGTGTGTGTGTGTGTGTGTGTGTGGTGTGTGTGTGTGTGTGTGTGTGTGTGTGTGTGTGTGTGTGTGTGTGTGTGTGTGGTAGTAATGTTTTGAAGGATGCCATAAAGTGTAGTTCCCTCTAGATTAATTGTTATAACGGACTAAATCTACGGGTCGAAAAAGTGATGTTTAAAACCCAAAAATGAAAACCAATGACATTTTCATCAGGCACAGTTGTACTTCTTGAGTGCTAAAGAGCAAACGTCAGCATTTATATATGGACAACACTGAACATTTGTGGATGTTATCTTGGGCTTTGGGAAACTCTGAAGCATATTTTGTTCGACATCTTCTGAAACTCTATAGAACAAGTGATTTAAATGAGAAAAGGATCAATGAGAATCAAACAAATGTTTAGTAGCAGCCCATTATGGCAGATTATAATAAATACAAAGCACCCTTCACCTTAACTGCACTTCAATTATGTATTATTTGAGTTAGGCAGAAGCTTACAGTACATCAGTGAAACAGTAATATCAATAACATTTGGTAAACAAAAGATTTATTCAACACATTTAAAAGAAATCCCATTTTCCCGTTTTGATATTCTACTTGATGGATTCTTAAGAATAAAGCTGCGAGCAAGAATGCAACATCTCCAAAATTGGATGGAGCAACTCTTGCCGAGGATTAAGATTGAACAGGACAATCAGTTAATGCAATAAACGCTTAAATCTAGGGTTCCTGCACATTTTTAACTGTTCCTACGTCCTCCATTAAAGCTGACAACAGTGGAGCGACAGAGGGCCGATAAACAAAGAAGTGCCATTTTTTAAAAGCATCCACCTGTTTCTTGTAAATGCTCTTGCTTAAATTGAAACGCCCTGGACATTTTTTTACCCTGACAAGCGCTTTCATTTCCCTAAACATTCATTTCCCACACAGGACACAGGATGATAAGCACTACATTTGTTCTAAGTTAACCTTCGAAAGCCCTAATCATTTTAAATCTTGCTTTTCAGTTCCTCTTTACTGCTGGTTCCTTTGTGGAATTCTTCCCTTTCCATTGACCTTGTATCTTAATTTGTTGACGACAAAGAGACTCCCCCTGTAATGTCTTTGAGGTCTAACAGCGTTATTATCTGACCTTTTCCTTTCAAATAAAGGCCTTCTAGTTTTGGCATCAATGTCAGTGTTTTCATTTTCTGTGTCCACCCTATAATAAAACATCGTTTTTCGGGGTATTTCGTTGATTTAGAAAAAATAAAAAGCACACTTGTTCATAAAATGGCATCTATAATATAAGTGTAGAAAACCATCAATTACAATGAATAAAAGGTCAATGATATGCATGTTAGGCCGAAACTGACTGCCACCAAAATGTAGGGTTTTTGACCCTCCTACAGGTTAAAAACAAAAATAGCACTTTAATTATACCAACACGTATATATAAATATATATCAACAATGACATGAGGATGACACCAGTTATACTTATGCATTTCTTCTGGCATTTTTAGAGTTAGTTAAAAAAAAATGTAAGTATGTCATTTCAAGCCCTTTTGGTTTTCTACTTAAATGTTTATTATATACCGTATATAATTAACATATACATGTATAATCATATCTGTTTATGTACAATAACCAACTGAACCATGAAAAGAGAGATGACCAGCGGAATAAATTAAACTATCTTGATGTTTTTGGGGTTCACAAAAGAGGAATTGGTTATTTTTCAAGTTTTCTATGACATTGATGTCACTGATGAACTTGTTTACTTTTACCGTAAACATAAATAAAAAGCTACCATTTTAAATGTGAAGATTTACATTAATCTAGACTAGTTAGAAGATAAAGTTGTTAATAATGTCCACACCAACATGTAACCAGGGACTTTCAACAGTATGGTACAGCAGACAAGCCTTTTAGAAGATTTACCATTAAAATAAAATTATATTTAAAATGTAAAAACGCTAACTTGCAGGATTCATTACACACATTAAATACAAAATGATATCATTTCTTCACGTAAGCTTGCAAACCAACATATTTAATTAGCATGAATCACATGACAAAAGTTGCAAGCTGCCTCCAAAGACAAAACAATGAAATGGTCAGATAAAACAAAAGACTTCAAATTACTTAAAGTATTCTGACCTGGATGACGTGGTTCTCTTTGTTCCTCTCCATCCGTCCTTTCATTAGCTGGTGAGTTGACATACTCTCCTGTCTCCATTTTTCTTATTTTTCTTACAGTGACAGTCTCCAACCAACGGCTAAATGAACCACTGCCATGCCGTGTGAATTGTCACAGTTTTTATTGTCCTTGTGTGTGTGTGTAGGTGTGAATTCATTCATCCTTATTTATTCCATCTGATAATGATGCAATGCCACACAAACAATGGTGTCACCATCCACAGATAACCAAAAAAGGTGTTAATGCTCGACTTAGTTGAGAATCAAAAGACTTAACCAGTGGTATACAATAACAGGCCCTAAAACTGACTTATAACTTTCTCACATTTAGCTGCAGATTCTCCACAAGGGGGAGCTGTTTGCACTCAGTGAACACATTGATGTCCTCACTCTGGGATGTTGGCTGTCACTTTGGCTGCATGTGCAACACACTCTCACTCCCTAAACGTCCAGGAGCGACGCTTGGTCAGGGTCCCGTGGCGTGCAGTTGGGACGCGCCGAGGCTCCTTCAGCTTCATAAACGGACGCAAAGAGCTTTCAACTGATTGCAATGTATTCCCATCGGCGGCGGTATTTGACGCTCAGGGAAGCACTACATCAGTCCATGTCGGCGGCATTTAAAGGCAATGTGAGCGTCCATTCCCATTGGATAACGGAGGATTTTACACCCGGAAGTAACTATTCTCCTTACTGTCGATTGATTTTACAGTGATATCTGCACTACTCATCAACTCAAAAACACCAGATTATCCTTGTTAATTACACAACATTGATTGGTTTAAATTGTGTGCAATGCTTTTGTGTTTTTCCCCTTTGATTCGGAGAAACAAATATTTTTTCGGAGTTTAGGATGGCAGAAGACACTACACTACCCAGAATCCTCAGCTGACGTTTGGGACTACACCATGTGCTTTGTTTGACAAACCCCGTGATTAGTTCTCAAGCTCTGTGATTGGATGTTGGAGTGGCAGTGCGCAAAGTTTACACTATCCAAATCAAGACTCGAACGTGTCCTACCCCCCCACCCCCCTTAGGTCACAGGCTCCTCCAACAGTGCAACACAATAAAACAGATACACAGAAAAAATCGTGCAAGTAAATACAAAAAGAAAAATAGTAAAATAGTAAAAAGTGAAATAATGCAATAAGAGTCTATATACAAGTGATTGGAATATGATATATTAGACAAATAATTTCTAAGAAGCAGCCAGATGAATGTTATGGATGTTGTTTCAAAGTTCAGGTGTTTAATAGTCTTATGGCCTGTGAGATGAAGCTGTCCCTGAGTCTGGTGGTTTTAGTCCGGATGCTGCGGTACCGCCTGCCAGACGGCAGCAGACAGAACAGTTTGAGGCTGGGGTGATGGGGGTCTTTTATAATCCTGAGGGCTTTCTTTAAGGTTAACCTGGTATTTTTACTACATTTATTTTAGTTACTTTACAGATTTGGATTAATGATGTGAAATATAAACAACCCTTAAATCAGACTTTAGTTACACCTGAGTAAAATTCAGTGAAGGTGATTGTCAAGTGCAAACAATCAGGCGAGATATTTGATAGTTGGTGCTTGAGAATACAAAAAATGTATCTGCAGATCCCTATAAAGTATATTCATTAGGGCTGTCAAGTTAACGCGTTAATAACGCGTTAACGCAAAAAAAAAAAAAACTAATTATTTTAACGCGATTAACCTGTTACGCACCTTCCGCCCGGTACCGGGCGGATAAACGCGTCATTTGCAGGAAACAACGTCTAAGGAATCTTAATATTGAATAAAACTATGAATGTGTTATATCCATGTAACGGGAAGAAACTCAGCTAACTGATCTTTTTAATTTTTTTTTTCAAAAAAACCCCACAATGCTAGCACTCAGCCTCTGAATTAGCCTCGACGAAAAAACGTAACCTACAAAGGCACTTAAACTCACTCATAACTCCCTTATTACTTATCCTAGATGCAAAACCAACCACTGGTTTTTGGTGTCCTGGAGACACTGAATCTAGGGGTGCCCACCTCAACACTCAGTGATAAACATTCGC